GGCTCCCAGAGGGGACACCTGAGCTGAGTGGCTGGTCCGCCTGTGCACGCTGGAGTCAGGCCATGGAGCCCGGTGGCACTCTGTCCCTATCGGTGACACGCTCAGGTGCCTGCCTTCATCATTAGCTGATTGCTTCATGTCCTGGTTTTCTCAGTGGTGGCAGGTGGAGGGAGGGCAGGTCATGGTGGTGGGTCAGGTCCTGACAGCGGGGGTGTTTGGGAGCTTCCGTGAGTGCTGGCTGTGACTGAAGGGCGGGCAGTGGACCAGCTGCCTAGGACCCTCCACGTTGGGGGACAGCCTGACGGTGGAGGCTGGGCCTGCGGGATGGTTCTGTGGCCCTACTGAGCCGGTCGAGGAGGAAAAGGTCTGAACCCCCGAGTTCAAACCCCCATGTGCTTCCCCAGACTGGTCCTTCTCTGTGCCCGGCCTTGCCTCCCGTGCACCTGGCTATTTTTAGCCTCCTTCTTCCGGTTAACGTGCTGCTCAGCCTCCCTCCCTCCAGATAGGCTATTTCAGGAGCAGACATCAGTCTCCTGCTCATTCAGACACTTGGCTCAAATCGCAGGAAAAGCTGACAGGAGTTTCTAAAGTCACTCAGTGAGACATCTGTCTGTCCATCCAGCCCCCATTCGGCCCTAGCCAGTCCTCTCCGCCCCCCGAAGCTTGCCTTGTTCTAGGGCCTGGGCGGGGCGTCCTGGTGGGGAGACAGACCATAGACACGTCAGCACGTGCTGTGCGCTTTATGTGCTGTGTCCCTGTGACGTCAGGCTGCTGAGCGCTGTGACTGAGGAGGCGGATCCAGAGATGCGACAGGCACTCAGGAGGTGGCAGCGTCGTGACAGGGTCACTCTGGCCGTGTTGAGATGGGCGGGTGCCGGCCTTGGCGTCCGGGGCTTCAGGGGGGCGTCCTGACTGCTGCGAGCCGGCTCGTCCAGGGGCACGGGGACGCTGCAGTCTGAGGGGAGTGGAACAGCGCAGCGTGTCTGGGGCTCGCAGCCCGTTCCTTCTGCCCACCGTAGCACCCCTGATAGCCCCGAGGTCTGCTCCACTGGGGGAGCTCTTTTGGCACTCCGCTTCTTAGGGAGCCCCGCCTTCCTGGTCTGCCCAGCACAGGGTCCTATGGGGGAGTGGAAAGGTCGGGGCGAGAAGCAGACACATGCAGGGGGAACAGTGCCTGCCTGCCTCGCCCAGGGGGGCTCTGAGGGTCGAGAGGGCACGTGGATGGCCTTGTCCCACTGGCTCTGAACCACCGCTGGCCCCGGGGAGGGTGGTGTGGGCCCTGGTGTGCAGCTGGCTCCCTTGCAGCCTTGGGTGACAGCAGAATGGTGGCCGGTTCCCGGGAACTTAAGGGTCTGACCTCTGGGGAGCTTCTCCTGGGGCCCAGAGCCGGGCAGTCGAGAGCTCTGGCACAGAAACTGGAGGCCAGCTGCTTATAGCCCAGCCTCTTGGGCCTGGTTGTCTCGTACTGGGCGCCTGGAGGCCCCGTGGCCCCTCGTGGACAGCGGGCAGTGGGCATGCGGCAGTGGCGGAGGCCGGGTGGTTGGGGGGGTGGGGGGCCTTGGAGCCAGGTTGGAGAGTCGACTCGTTTTCACTCTGGGTCACCCCTGCTGGGAACACTGGCCTCCAGACCATGTGCCCAGGGCGGCCGAAAACGGCACATACCTGAGAACGAGGGTCGTCCTGCCAAATGGAGAGTGACACAGGAAGCCGGAAAGGCCAGAGCCACAGCCGAGCTGGGACACTGGAGGGGCCTCACGGTCACCTGACCTTACGGACTTGCCTGTCACTCAGTGGAGCCTCAGCACTGGGAAGCGGTGGGTGGCAAAGGGCTGGCCCGTCAGGGTGCCGGTGCCCCTCAGTTCCTGTCCCACAGGGCTGTGGGGCGACGTGCTCACCTACCAGGTGGCCGCCCAGCTGTGCATGTCAGCAGCGATCGGTCACCCTTGTTTGGCTGCCTAGAATTCTCAGGCTTTCATCTTCCTCAGCAGGCTGGGCCTGACCCCCTGTGGGTGGGTGTGACCCTGAGGACGGGTCCTGGGGCCAGATGAAGCACAGTTGCCTCTGGCCTTGTCATTGGAGGAGATGGTTTAATAGGTGGTGGGTGGGAGACCCCAGCTGGCTCTGTGCCTGGGCCCTGGGGTCGCATCCCCAGGCCAGAGAGGCTGCGTGCAGTCTGAGCTGCCTGGGAGCACCTGGCCTGGGGGTCTTGGCAGGGAGGGGGTCTTGGCAGGGGAGCAGCCCTGGGCTGAACCACGTGCTTCTGTGGGGCCAGTGCCGCCTGCCCTGGGGAATCCCTCGCTCACAGATGGTGGACCCTCACCCCGTTTCTCCTTCCCGGCCTGGGTTCCTCACCATTGTAAGGAACACGGTTTGCTTGAAGGCCATCAGGTCGACTGTTTCCGGGGGCAGCCATAACGGGACTGCCAGCTGGGCTGATCACACAGCGGGAATTGGTTCTCCCAGTTCTGGAGGCCAGTAGTCTGAAACTGCGGTGTGGGCCTGGCCACGCTCCCATGAGCCCTTCCTCATCTCCAGGTGCTGATAGCGGGCGCTCTTTGGCTCGTGGGCGCGTAACCCCGGGGTCTGCCCCGCCTCCACATGGCTCCTTCCCTCTGCCCGGTCAGCCTGTCTCCTAATGAGGACTCCGGTCATTGGAGCAGGGTCCACCCTCGCGACCTCACCTTAGCTCAGTCACATCCGCCAGTCCCTGTTTCACACTGGCAGGTGACAGGACTGCGGTCTTTTTGGATCACGACGTAACCTGTGACATCACAGGCCCTTCCACACGAACACCTTGCATTTAGAATTCAGTTGCACTTTTTTGTATGTTTTAAGAAACATAAATAACATCATCAGTTCTTGATGTTGGAGGGGACTGTGGGGGCAGGCGACAGGCGAGTGCTTTTCCTGAAGGTCGGATGTGTAGTTCACCCCCCACCCCTTTAAGAGAGTCGATGCTGATGCGCACTTGCAGCCACGGCGGGAGGGGGGCCTTTGCGTTGGGGGTTTTCGAGGATCTTTCTCTGACGCAGACGCTTGATTGAGGAGGAAATGAGTATTGCTCAGGCAAGGGAATTGCCTTTGGAGGTCATTTCCCACGCAGATTTTTATTCTTCATGAAGGTCGTCACCACTGATGAATTTCTGTGAAAGCTCAGTAGTTCCCCCAGGAGCACCTGCTGTGTGCTGGGCCTGGGCCAGGCCTGGGGACTCCAGGAGGAGCAGAGGGCGGCTCAGCTGGGGACGGAGAGCCTTCCAGGCAGAGAGGCCTGGGCCGGGGCGAACGGGCAGGCGGAAGCGGCGCTCCCAGCTGTCAGGAGCCGCTTGGGACTTGCTGAGCTCCGGAGTCTCCCTGTGCCCTGGCGGTTCACACTAGTAGCGGCAGCTTCCGCAGCAGGCGTGCGCATCATGCAGGAGTTTCCTGAGCCTCCTGTGGCCAGAGGGATGACTGTCTGCTTTCCCACAGGACCACAGCCGCTTCGTCAACTGCGTGCGATTCTCTCCCGACGGGAACAGATTTGCCACGGCCAGCGCCGATGGCCAGGTGAGGGCTGGGGCTGGGGCTGGGCTGGGGGGCCCTGCAGTGAGGGGGCTCATCTGATCGTCCTCTGCCACTCAGAGCAGATGGACCTGCCGAGCCAGTCTCCGTGCTGCACATAGGTGTCACCCTCCTCCTCGCCCCAGAACGAGGCTCGGTCGCCGGGCTTCGCCAAAGCACAGGAGACGCGGCTCCTTCTCCCTGCTTTTAAGTGGAACTCAAATCTCATCTGTGGGCGCTTTTTTCAGATTAACTCTCTTGAGTCCCAGTTGGGAACTCCATTATCGCCGACAGGTGAATAAGCGCTCGCTTAGCCAGCCGACTGCTGAGAGCGCTCACACACAGATAACCCACGCACGCCTTTGTTTCTTCAAAGATATACATCTATGACGGAAAGACGGGCGAGAAGGTGTGCGCCCTGGGAGGAGGCAAGGCTCACGACGGAGGCGTTTACGCCGTGAGTGTGGCTTCGGGCTGCCTGGTGGCTGTGGCTGTGGCTGGGTCCTATGGGTGTTTGCAGTCATTTGAACGGCTTTTACAGTTAGAAGCTTTAAAGTAGGTGTGGTGGGACAGAGCTTCAGGGTCACATAAAACAGGTGACGTGGCCTGGACGCGCGTCGCATTCTTGCCCACTGCCTCCCGGCTTCTCCCCGCTCAGATGTGGGGGCTGGGCACAGCTGCTTTCTGAGGCCCCTTCCCACTGAAACTGTCTGACGTGCGACACGTGTTTCGTCTGAGCAGATAAGTTGGAGTCCTGATAGCACCCACTTGCTTTCTGCTTCTGGAGACAAGACCTCCAAAGTCTGGGACGTCAGCGCGAACTCTGTCGTCAACACGTTTACGATGGGCTCCAACATCCTGGACCAGCAGCTGGGCTGCCTGTGGCAGAATGACCACCTCCTCAGCATCTCCCTGTCTGGGTACATCAACTACCTGGACAAAAACAACCCCAGCAAACCCCTGCGGGTCATCAAGGTGAGGAGGTGCGGGGGGCGGGCCCCGCCTTTAGGGGAGGCAGGGGGAGAGGTGCGCCTGCCTAGGAGTGGGGCGAGCCCAAGGGGGTGCGACAGGAGGCCCGGCCCTGGGGGTTTTGAACAGGCAGCAGGTGCTGGTTGCATTTTGGGCTGTGAGTTGAGCAGAGGTGGGTGGGAGGCCAAGGGCCCTCGCCCTCCCTCAGGACCTCGCAAGTTGTGACATGCTGAGCCCCAAACGCGGTGAGTGGAACATGCTGCAGATGTGGGCGGCCAGCGAGAGCCTGGAGCTGGGCCTGGCCGTTGTGGGGTGCTGGAGCCCGGCAATGAGGGGGGGCGGTCCTCAGGTTCTGCAGGGGTTGGGGAGTGTGAGAATGAATATGGAGCGGTGACGGAGGCCTCGGGCGCCAGCCAGGAGTCTGGGCAGCAGGGAACAGTTGGAAGGATGGGAGGACCTGTCTCCATCATCCAGAACGCTTACTCAGGCCATACGATGACCAGGGTGTGCACTGGTGGCTCCTGGGTGGGAGTCACGCCCTCTCCCTGTCAGCCCTGGGGACTCTGTCATCGCAGGAAACAGAGCCACACCAGGAGCTCCTACGTCCTCTGGGGCCCTGGTGCCACCTGTTGCAGACCCCACCTCTGCCAGGGGTGGAGGCATCATCTGAAGTGGGGCTCACCTGCTCTGGGGCCTCCAGTGGGTGACCCTCTGTAAGGACTCTGAGCCATGATTTCGAGAGAGGGGTTTCACAGCCAGGCTTCATGTGCACCCCGTCCTGGCAGCTGAGGGTCATTTGAAGCCACTCCGGTGGCAGGCCACAGCACTCCCCACCCGTTGCCCTCCCAGCTGCTTTCAGCTGTGTGACTGGCTCCTGGAGCCGTCAGCTGGGTGCTCGCTGCATCCCGTCCAGGATGGAGGCACTGGTGGCAGTGGTGACTGGACAGGCTGATCCAGTATGGTCGGCCCTGAGGACACGAGGTTCCCAGTCCACTGCAGTGAGGGTGCGGTGCAGGCACAGCAGCCTGAGACCGCGGGGGCCGGGGAAAGTCACGGCGCTGGCCCTCAGCTGTGTTGCGGGGGATCCAGGCCTTGCCGTCAGCCAACCTCCTCTGTCCAAGGAGCAGCTGCCCGTGGGCTGTCACCCCACAGGGCCCCAGGCGTCCATCCCCGGCCGCACCACATCTGTCAGCCCCTGGGCCTGGCTGCTCTGTCCCTGCCACCCAGGACAGGGCTGTTGCTTCCGCTGGTCAGCTCAGGGAATCTCGTGGGCTGTTAACCGTTGTCAGAAAAGAAACGTGTCCTCTCTCCCACCACAAGGGTGTCTCCCAAGGGTGCTTGGTGCTGATGCCGCTGCGTGTGAGCCAGAAGGAGGCCGGAGTTAGGGCAGTGGCACACAGCGCCTGGGTCTGTGGGGGTCTCCTGGTGGCCGGAGGCCCCTGTCTGCCTCTGCGAGCCGGGCCCTCCTGAGGCTGACGCCAGGCGGGGCTGGTCCTGGCTCTCTAGTGCGAGCAGCTTCTGGGGGGTCCGGGCCCCCATCAGTCTGCTTAGAGGGGGTGCTCGGCTGCTGGGGCTCTGATTAGACCCCTGTCCTTGGCCTGGTGGGCGTTAGGTGCCTTGGAGGGAGGAGCCGTGTGCCTGGGACTTGCCAGGTGGTCAGTTATAGGGGAAACCTGCCGAGACCTGATAGGTGTTTCAGGCCCGTTGGGCTGCGGGGTCTTGGCACACAGCAGCTGGTTGGGGGCCTCCTGCTTCTCCTTCACACCCAGGCGTAATCAGTAGAGTGTGGCAGGTCACAGGCAGGG